AATTTGAGTTTGACACCCCCGGTCTAGGGAATTAAACTTCCAGCCTCTGGTGACACAGCTAGATACCCAAACCACTGAGCCAAGGTTGAGGACCACTGGTCTAGGGAATTAAACTCCCAACCTCTGGTGCCACAGCTAGGTACCCAAACCACTGAACTTCTTAGCAGTTCAATATTAATCTTGGAACTCCCGTATAGGGACCCTAATAGGGTTCTCAAGGTAAATGTTAACTTTTAAGGAATGGTTTTAGCAGTTCCACACCACCAGTGAGTTTCCGTGGCCAAGTGGGGATTTGAACCCTGATCTCCAGAGTCCCAGCCCATCACTCTGTCCACTGCACTACAATGGGTACCATGTAGAATAGTATAGTGGAGTAATTTTTCAGCTCTGCAAGACAGTTGTATCTCTGGAAGTGAAAAGAAGCAGGCATTTAGTAAAATGAAATGTAATATTGATAGATTATACATCTGATGAGTGAAAAACTGTTTCATTTTTTTTAATCTTATAGCGGTGCCATGAAACCTGGTCTCAATGCAATCTTAGGACCCACCGGCTGTGGCAAATCTTCGTAAGTGTCAAAATAATGAAAAGACTTGTTTTACGGTGATGCAAAACTTCATATTGTTACAAGCTTATAAATATTCCCTGTCCATAAGTGTGGCCTTGTAAGAAATGTGCATGAATGAGTTTAATAAGAAAGCATGTACACAAGCTAGTTTCAAAACAGCTTCGGTGCAATTTAAAAAGATTTATCTGTGTGAATTTTCTGTGTTGGCTTAGATATCCTTATTGGAGTACGTTTTATATTACTTCTAGGCTATTGGATATCTTAGCGACAAGGAAAGATCCTACAGGGCTGTCTGGAGATATTTTGATAAATGGCTACCGTTTGCCTTCACATTTTAAATGTATTTCCGGATACGTAGTACAGGTAAATGAAGTTTCTAGTTACTGTATTAAATCTCCAGTGTTAATCTGGTTCCATTTCCTCACCCAGGCAAATTAGGCTAGGGGAGAAAAAAAAAAGAATACTTGGGGAACAGGCATGAAGTAGGTGAAAGGCCGTTTAAGCTTCATTCTGCTACCAATTCCAAAATCCTGGGATGAACATGTGCTCAGATGTAGCACCGCTTAGCCTATGCCTGCTTGGTTCTGAACCTGGCTTTATTAGCAGGTGAACCGCGGGGTTCTAGTAAAAAAATAAAGCAGATCTTATGAGGCAGAAATCTACAAAGGTTCTAAGTGCATCCAAGACACAGATGGGAGGCATTTGCATTTTAGATTACAACTCCCAGCATCCCCCAAGGGCAATGGCTGATCCTTGTTGTGGGGTTTTGCAAGCTGTAGCCTCCAAAAATGTCTCCCATTCCCTGGTCAAAGCAGCTGCGGGTGGTTAACCCTAGAGAGGCCCAGAAATCAACCACCAGGAACTGGGCTTTCTCGGTGGTAGCTGCAACACAATGGAATACATTGCCTGTTGATATTTGCCATACTCCCCCTCTTCTGACCTTCGGGAAACAGGTGAAACCTGAGCTTTTTAAAGATGCCTTTGCTAGCATCCCTCTCTTTACCCAGCATGTTGTTAGTCTGTGGAACTCCTTGCCACCGGATGTGGTGATGACATCTGGCCTAGATGCCTTTAAAAGGGATTGGACAGATTCCTGGGTGAAAAGTATATTGCAGATTACAAGCCATGATGGGGATGTACAATCTCCAGGCTTAAAAGGAAGGTACCTCCAAATGCCAGATACAGGGGAGTGGTATCAGGGGACAGGTATCTAGTTGTCTCGTGTGCTCCCAGAGGCATCTGGTGGGACCACAGTGAGATACAGGAAGCTGCAACTAGATGGTCCCTTGGCCTGATCCAGCAGGGCTCTCCTTCTGTTCTTATGTTTTCTCCTTTAATATTTTTGCAGATCCGTGCATTTTGAAGTGAATTTCATCTGCTGTTGCCTCTGGAATTTTTTATTGGGTTTTTAAAATATGTACATGTGTTGGTGAATGGGTTATTTCTCTTTATTGCTGTTAGCCATCTAGAGTAGCACTCTTTTACTAGATGAGCAGGCTTAAAAGCGCAGCAAACGAACAAACAATACAGACAAAGGAACAATAGCAGTGCATAATCTTCAGATGAAGTATAACCATGAAATGAAACCTTCCCTATTCCCGTCTTTTAAGGATGACATTGTCATGGGAACCTTAACTGTCCGAGAAAATTTGGAGTTCTCTGCTGCCTTGCGGCTACCTTTGTCGACCTCGGTACAAGAAAAGCGGGAGAGAGTTGATCAAGTTCTCAGGGAGTTGGATCTGGCTAAAGTGGCAGACACCAAGGTATAAGCATATAGCAGCATTTTGATATTACTTAACAGCGGCTTGTTGTGACAGAGATATTGTTAGGAATACTGGAAAATTAAGTACGTAGGGTTTTTTTAAAAATCAGGCTTGTGTGAACCATGATCTGACTACAGTTGCCTCACCAGAAAAAACGCTTCTGCCAGTTTCAAGGAAAATCAGTGCCCGTGTGTGTTCTAAGATGAAGGTTTGGCTCTTTTTCTGGAGGCATTTTCCTGCCTGAGGGGAGGATCAAAAAGTGACAGCCTCCAATCGAAATCAAGGTGCACTGTATACAAAATGAGCCAAGTCATTTTGGCATAGGGTAGCTCAACATCCCTGGCAGCAAAAAAAACAACACAAAGGTAGCAAAGTAAGCAGTTCATTGCTTCAGTAAAACAACCTGGTTCAGTAGCGTTCATTTCATTTGTTTCCTCGTGTTCTCCAGACCACACAATGTGCAGTCTGTTAAAATCTGCACCTTTCCCCATGCTTTTCTGTAATGTTGTTGTTCTTTTTTGGAGAGGGGTTCACAGCCACAGCACATCCTATGGAGAGTTCATTTTCTCCTTGGAAGTTCTCAGTTTGAAGCCTTTATTGGGCTCTTAAAATTAGCTTTAAAAACTGAGAGAAAAATTTATCTCCAGAGGCAAAGCTGCAGTGAGGAAATAGAACTGTGATGATTCCTTTTTAGGAGAAGCGATCTGCAAATATGTGGCTCTTGTAATGCAAGGTAGATTCCAGACTCCTTCAGGGGGGTATCACTACTAGTGATTCATTTATTGCCCTTTATTGTCAATGCACAATGAGCAATGAAATTGAATGAGCCTCCATTGGTACGACCACACAAAGCACAAAATCCTAAACACAAAATACATGCATGCATGCATGCATGAATGCATGCATATACATATTGCATGTTATACTGGCACTGTGAGTCTGTTTATATTAAGTCTGGTCATGGTGTTATGTGGCATTTAGGAGTCTGATGGCCCGTGGATAGAAGCTATTTTTTCAGGCTATTTGTCCGGCTGGCTATACTTCTATATCTCTATATCTCAGTTTAGGCTTCTCCTGAAACGTGAGGGCCATCCTCCTCCTCCGGCATCCGCTCTCCCAAAAAATCATGAAAAAAAATTGCTCTAAAATGCAAATCATGTATTGGGGTGTGCATGGCAATTTGTTTGGCAAACATTGCTTTTATTTTGGGGTTCAAGGGTGTTTGGGCAGGCTAGGGGAGCCACACAGACTGCGCTGGGAGGGCCATGTGCAATCTAAGGGTCCCACTTTGCCCACTTTGGCCTTTGGAATGGGACTACAGATCTATATTGCTGGTTCCTTTGCTGATATTGTTTTGCTATCATGATTAGAAGTTACCCACTCCCCTTTTCCATGAACTGGTCTACCGAGCCACTCAAATATCTGTGATTTTTCTTTGTCAAAAGCACCCGTAGGTGAGGCCAGAACATGCGGTCCTTTCACGCTTTGCTTTCCCAACTCAACAAATTCAGCTTTAAGAGGTATTAGAGGATATTTAGAGGGAGAGCAAGAGCGTGTGGGGGCATATAATTAAGGCATTTTGCACTAATTGAAATGTGTTCCTAGTTTTAAACAATGCTACTGCAATGAAAAGCAACTCACTTCAACATTTATTTTCCTGTACTAGGTCGGCACCTATTTTACCCGTGGAGTTTCTGGCGGGGAAAGGAAAAGGACCAGCATTGGCCTAGAGCTTATTACACACCCGGTCGTATTGTTCCTGGATGAACCGACTACTGGATTAGATGCCAGCACGGCTAATGCTGTCTTGTTGCTCTTAAAAAAGTAAATTGTGCTAGAGGTGGCAGATTCTGTTTTATGGTGCTAGATGAAAGGGTAGCATCCATCATGGCCAGTAACATTCCAATTTTAATATCAGGGGGCTGAGTTGTTCATTTTAAACTCAGTATTCCTTTCTTAATTCTTCTTTTAAAAACTTAACAAGTTTTATATATAGGTTTCCATTGTGACTTTTACAAGCAACTTTCTTCATGGAAGGAATGCACAGTAATTTTTCAGATCTGGTTGTCGTTGATAATGACTTGGATTTTAATTTGCATTTATGGATGGTCCTTGTTTTTAAATTCATAAACTGCTCAGCTTACAGTCCGATACTGTTATCTAAAGTTACATTCACATGCGCTATGAATGGTTCAGAATATGAAAAGCCAGTGGTACTTACAGCAGTTAATTGTTTCCCTTGTGACAGGATGTCAGGGCAAGGAAGAACAATCATTTTTTCCATCCATCAGCCCCGGTACTCTATTTTCAAATTGTTTGACACCATGACATTACTTGCTGCTGGAAGGCTTATATATCATGGACCTGCTGATGATGCTCTTAATTATTTCAGCGATCTCGGTGAGTTTACCTAGGGTGAGTTAAAATTGAGGCACGTTAATGAGGATTTTTCTAGAACATCTCTAGCGCAGTTTAAGATGCAAGGGTCAAATTCTCATTGCTTAGTGTAATAAATCACAGTACAATAAGCCTATTGAATCAATGGGGGTTTCGCCAGTCAACTCCTCCATAAGTTCCATTGATTCAAATGGGCCTCCTCTAACTGCGACTTAGGATCTGATCCCACTTGCCAGAATAAACGAGCAGAGGGATTGTTTCTTTTGGATCTGGGCTGAAATTATGTGGCTGGGGTGGTAGGAGCAATCAAGCAGGCTTGCGTTTGGACGGATGGGCAACTGGGTGGGGGTGAACGAGGGGCAGATGAGTGAGAACAGGTTTTTCTCCTCCCATCAGGGACTTTTACATATGTGGAATCAGTGGCAATGAATCAATTCCGTCTCAAAATAAATATACCTCTGGTGGAGGAGCAGAAAAACTCGTTCGTCTGGCACACTACTCTGTGCATGTGTGCGCCTCAACCTAGGGTGAGTTAAAATTGAGACACGTTAATGAGGATTTTTCTAGAATATCTGTAGTGCATTTTAAAATGCAAGGGTCAAATTCTCATTGCTTAGTGTAATAAATCACAGTACAATAAGCCTATTGAATCAATGGGGGCTTTGTCAGTCAACTCCTCCATAAGTTCCACTGATTCAAATGGGCCTCCTCTAACTGCGACTTAGGATCTGATCCCACTTGCCAGAATAAACGAGCAGAGGGATTGTTTCTTTTGGATCTGGGCTGAAATTATGTGGCTGGGGTGGTAGGAGCAATCAAGCAGGCTTGCGTTTGGACGGATGGGCAACTGGGTGGGGGTGAACGAGGGGCAGATGAGTGAGAACAGGTTTTTCTCCTCCCATCAGGGACTTTTACATATGTGGAATCAGTGGCAATGAATCAATTCCACATCCATCTCAAAATAAATATACCTCTGGTGGAGGAGCAGAAAAACTCGTTCGTCTGGCACACTACTCTGTGCATGTGTGCGCCTCATGTGTACACCTAGATCTGGGTGTTTTTTTAAAAAGCAGAACCCAATACAAGAGTGTTTTTTATTATCAGCGGGATTAAACTCTTACTTTAGCATAGGTCACAGTTACCGCAGGCCATTCGAATCAATGAAACTTATGGAGGCGTTAATTTACAAAATCCCCCCGGCGCTACAGCGATTCACTATCCTAAGCAACAGGAGTTTGATCAAAAGATTAAATGTAACTGTAAGCAAATTTTTTATATAAAACAAAGATATGGCATTTTTACATAGAAATCAGCTACCCGTTCCACACGCTCTTCTCAATCCATGATGTTAAAAGTGGCCACATTGAGGCCAGAAAGTTGACCACAATGCTAGGCCCCTGCCTCCTTATGTTCAGGAAATTGCTAAAGATGTAATTATTTAAGGCTGTCTCTAACAACTAAATCTCGTGGATGCTTTTACATTTTTTGTAGGGTTATTTATATTTATTATTTAATTACTGTTGTATATCACCGTATTATTTCTGAATGTATATTGTTATGTGGGGTCTTGTGGATTTAATTTTTAACCTACAAACTGCCCAAAATAGTGCTTGCATTAATGGTGTGGCATTTAAATCAAATCAAATCAAATCAAATCAAATCAAATCAAATCAACCCAAGCAAGCAAGCAAGCAAGCAAGCAAGCAAGCACCAACCAACGAACCAACCAACCAACCAACCAACCAACCAACCAACCAACCAACCAACCAACCAACCAACCAACCAACCAACCAACCAACCAACCAACCTTCTTCTAAGATGCAACAGCAGTAGAGAATGGATGCTGTTTGTTTTGTCTTTCAAAAGCCTTTTTGAATTCATGTTATCTTTATATGTCTGAGCCTAGAAACCACAAAAGTACTTTAGGCTTATCACATCCATGGTCAAGTAGGTCTTTTAACCATTTCCTTGGCATGCACACCAATAGGTTCAGCCCTTCCAAATTCCAGAATCTCCCCAGGGAGACAATTGCTTTAAATATAATCTGAAGTTGATGTATTTAGATCAAAGCATGACCTTAATTTGCACCTCTGAGAGTACAGATGTCTTAAAAGAAACCAAGCTCTTCTGGATTTACACATGGCCTGTTGCAAGGAGGCCATGTGTGAAAAAAGGAAAAGTTTTTGTTTTAACTAAAGCTCCCAGAATCCCACAACCAACATAGCAATATCAGTGGAATTCTTGGAACTATCGTTGCTCAAAAAGTAACTTTCCCATCTGTGAATCTTTCCTGCATAACTGAGTTCAGGATAAAATGGCCCAGCTAATTTTTTGTGACACTGTGGACTGAGTGAACTTTCTGATAACAAGAATTCATTTTCCCCCAGAACTATTTCTCAAGTCGAATAAACCTAATTTTATGTCTATGTACTTTTCAAAACACGCCATGTCCAAGCAGTTGATAAGATAACCTTTGTGGCACCTGGTAAGGATGGCATTTTAAAAGATAACTGGACTAAAGCTTGTGAGGGATGGGGTCAAACAAGACAAAATATGTGTTGTATTTAGGAATTTTTGTCAAGTGGCTGGAATTAAACTCACTCCATAGCAGAAAAAAAGCACATAGATGTCTATTTGTAGGTTATTTGTGTTTCTATTCCATTACTTTCGAATGACTGTTTTTTTGGGGGGAGGGTTGGCTTGCTGGTTTGTTTGTTTTTAGAAAATCTATAATGCTTCCATGGCCAAAATCCTTTGGTTCCTGTGAAACTATACCTGTAAAGGTAATAATGCAAACTGTCTTTGGCTGTTGGTCACGGGTCCTGTCATTGATTGTGCAACCGGAGAACAGCTGGCAAACTACCTACTACTGCTTGCATAGTTGGTGTTGCATGATCACGTAACCCAACAGTATCCAGCCTACAGGTCTTCATTTTAGGTATAGGGTATGTAAACATTGATCATCTTTGCTTTGCAGGCTATGTGTGTGAACCATATAACAACCCTGCAGATTTTTTCCTAGACATCATTAACGGAGATTCAACTGCTGTTGAAATGAGCAAAACTACCATAGACACTATAGGTATGGATGCTTATTGTCTTTTCCAGGGAATCTTGTCTTCTCATGATGTGCGCAAAATAAGAAAACAGTGTCAGTTACATCATTTTTGCCTCCAGAGACAGTTCAGGCTTATTTGATCCAGGACACACTTATTTGTCTTTCCAGTAGGTGGCAAAGCTCTCCTCCGGCACCATATTTCAAATGCTTCAATTTTTTCCTGTCCTCCTTTCACACCCATACATGGTGATCAGAGATACAAGAGTATGGGTGATCTTAGTCTTAGTCTTCAACGATACATCCCTACCTTTGATCTTTTCTAATCCTTTTACTGCTGCCCTTCTGCATCTCTGGGCCGGCCCACACCGTGAAATTTGGTGCAATCCAGCCAGTGTTTAAAAGCACTTATCTTCAGGGCATTTTGTTTTAACTCCCGCAACTCATCTGTGATGGCAGAAGGAAGAGCTATTTTGCATCTCAATGTATCTTCCTACACCGTGAAATTTGGTGCAATCCAGCCAGTGTTTAAAAGCACTTATCTTCAGGGCAATTTGTTTTAACTCCCGCAACTCGTCCGTGATGGCAGAACGAAGAGCTATTTTGCATCTCAATGTATGTTCCCAAAAAGACTGCATGCCCTAGCCCTGTGACAGAAAGATATGGGTCAGCTCTTAAAGGGGAAGGATGGGTTGTTCTAAGTAGAAACACAAGCAGATAAGGACTTCTTTTTTCTGTGCCAAACAGTGTTATCAGGGAACCATATACCATAACTAAATGCCAAAATGGACAGGTTCTTCTGATTTCTTGGCTGCCTTTTCTGTTTGGAGTGATTATTCAAAACAGGTGTACTTACCTTTAATAACACCTGCTTGCTTAACTGGCTCTGAAGTGATATGGGGGAATTCTCCTTTTAATGGCATCCTTAACCCCTTCCTGCCTTTACCTCCTTGCACTGAAATGTTTTCACTCTTTTGTCTAGCTCAGCTCCAGTACAGGAATTATATTAAGCTAGGCAAAAATAACTGGGATGGGGATGCTTAGCGTAACAAGGAAAGGTTGAGGAAGAGGTAAACATGCTTCTTTGGCTTCAAAGCCAGTGCAGTACTGGGGATAGAATGCTGAACTTGGGGTTCAAATCCCTTCTTGGCCATGGAAATTCACTGAAGGTAGTGTTGGTGAAACAACTGCTTAAAATATCTCACATAGCTTGCAAATCCTACCAAGGTTGCCATAAATGGGATGTGATTTGACGACACATAATAATAAGATGAATAGTATATGTTTGATTTGGCCTTTGGTCTATAGTGTATAATGATCAAAGCATGTTGTAATACACATTTCTCTTGAGGTGGATGCAACTCTAGCTGGCATTTAAGTATTAACTATATATGTATGAGAGTGGAAGAACTGGAGAACCACATTTTTATGCTTCCTTGTATAAATAATTCTGCAAATAGAAATGTAATAAACTGAGCAGGGAACTTACCTGTGACCCTAAAAGGGCTTTCAGGATACATGGGATATTTAAGGAATTGTTTTACCTGTTCTGCCCCCAGTGAGTTTTCATGGCTGAGCAAGGATTCAAGCCCACATCTCCTGACCTGAGTCCTAGTCCATTGTTCTGTCCAATATTCCACCCTCAATAGCTGATGTTCAGTGTGACCGCCACATATTCTCCATGATATGCTAGTGCCTTTACTGGAGGGGGTTTTCTTTGTGGTAGACCAGCCAGGTTTAAGTTTGAAGATGTTCAAACTTAATAGTTCAAATTATTAAGATGTTCAAACTGAATAGCTTGCTTACTTACTGTACAGCTCAGTTGCAATGTATTAATCTGATTTTTCTTTCTTATCTGAAACAGATATTGAAGAGACTGTCAGAGAGCAGGAGACCATTGCGGAAAGATTAGCTGAAAAGTTTACTCAATGCAGCTACTACAAAACAATGAGAGAAGAGCTGGATACACTGTCTGCGGAATATAAGAACAGGGGTGAAACGTATAAAGAGATTCCATACTCCACTCCCTTTTTTCATCAGTTGAAGTGGTTGTCGAAACGTACATTTAAGAATTTGATAGGTAATCCACAAAATTCTACTGCCCAGGTAACTCAAACAAAATTCACTTTAAAAAATAATGACTGAAAGCAATGAAGCCTGCTTCTGTTTAAAAATAAGGTAAATTTACTTTTTTCATCAGTTGAAGTGGTTGTCGAAACGTACATTTAAGAATTTGATAGGTAATCCACAAAATTCTACTGCCCAGGTAACTCAAACAAAATTCACTTTAAAGAATAATGACTGAAAGCAATGAAGCCTGCTTCTGTTTAAAAACAAGGTAAATTTACATAATGAAGAGTTACGAGAATAATTATGTTTAATTACTGATGCTTAATAATTATTATACTTTAGGGCAAACAGTTTTTATCCTCTTCTGCCATTACAAAATAGTGTATTAGGGCCAAATACAAACATGAAATGTTTCAGATTTGTTACACTTGCTCAAGGAACTGTGGAAATCCTCATTCTAGGCAGGGCTAAATATCCCTAACAGATAATTCACAGCACTCAGTAACTACCATTTCCCAATATTGTTCAAGGAGGGAAACTCTCATGCTCTACAACAGTTTCATGTTTTAAAGCTGGAATACATTTGTAATGTATAGACATGTCCTCAAAGTGGAGAAGAAACCCAAGCGTGGGGGGGCTTTTAATTTCTTGTTCGTCATTTGGTGGGTTGGGACTCAATACTAGGTACAGAAATAGCTTGGGCTAAAAGGGTCACAACAGCATCTCTACCATGATGTGGATCAGTGGTTCCCAGTCTTGGGTAGCCCAGGTGTTCTTCGACTCCAACTCCCAGAAACCCTAGTCAGCACAGCTTGTTGTGAAGCTTTCTGGGAATTGCAGTCCAAGAGCACCTGGGTTACCCAAGGTTGGAAACTATTGATGTGATATATGCTAAATAATTAAGAATCGGATCTGCAATGTCATGCTTGGGGTGAAGGCAAGCATGTTTTGGCCTAAGTCTGTCTCTACTGTTAGATGAAGCGATACAACCATGATGTATAACAGATGCTGGGAGACAGCAATAGCAGTAATGGGCTGCTCTTCCTAAGCCTTGTAGTTGAAAGAGGATGCCGTGTGTGCTAGGCCTGTCTGTTCTCCTAAAGAGGGCTGCTGCTCTCAGGCGTGATGGAACATGCTATCTGATTGCCAGCATTTAGCTGACAGTCCAGTCATCTCCTGAATGGAGAGGAGGGCATTGATTTGCCCTTAAAGGTTGGAGTTGGCTTTGCTCAGGACTCCAAGAACGTAGCTCATTTCAAGGCAAATCAAACCTTTCCAACCCTCTCTTTGAAGGACGTCCGTCCCCTCCCCACTCTCCATCCCAGACTTTTTCCCCCCTGTGACCTCTGTTTCCAGCAGCAATTCTTTAAAAAAAACTGTGCAAAGGTTTTCTTTCAAGAGGAAAAAGTACATCGCAATCACCAATCAATCATCTGTTGAGACCCTGTGAAGTTAAAAGCTTTGTGTGTGTTGATAGAATGGGGATCCCTATTAATTGCTTTCTAAAAGCTTGACCTTGTGACAAGAATTATGATCTTAAGAGCTTAGAATCGTCCAGGGTTAATAGACCTGACTTTTTTCTCACAATCGTTTTCATCTCCCTAACCTCATTAGGAATGGATTTTGGACGCATTCTTAAAAAGACCCTGCATTTTTAAAGCCTCCCTTCACTAATCTTCTTAAATTGGCCCTGATATGATCTTTGTTTCCCACTTCAACCGGCTTAGAAAGGAGTTATTATCCCTGACGTTTCATCCCCTCAGCCTGCCCTGAGCACTTTGGTACCATGTATCAAGCCCACCTTAAGTGTTAAAGTTCAAGCAATCCCCTCTGATTAAACACCGGTGAACAGCCTGTTACCATCGTCTTGACCGAGATTTTCCTCCCTTTTGCTTATTTTAAAGAAAGTGTTACATACAGTTTTTAATCAGTTTGGTTATTGTCACCAAAAGTCACAATCCTTCTCTCTCTCTCTCTCTCTGTCACTCTCTCTCTCTGTGTATTCCACCCTTCTATATAATATGTTAAAAATACCCAATTTGTTTTGAATCCAGAAAATGGGAAACATCTTTTCGTGGCATTTTTATCTTCGCGATTAGTGCTGTAGTTTGGTTTGGTTTATTTCCGTACTGTCTTTCTTCCAATTAACACTCACAAGTTATTAAAAAACAAACCAATTAAAAGTACGATAAATGATTATATTAAAAACTATTAAACATATGTTTGTATTAATTAAAACTATTAAAACATTTTAGAAGGAGGTTAAAATGTAAAGATGTAATACCAAAATTAAAATTCTTCACTGCCCAGTGAAGACCAATGAAGACCAAAAGTATGGTCTTCATTTGGAAGAAAAAAGAGGGTGGGGGCCAACTTAGCCTGCTGGGGTACAACATTTCACAACGGGAGCAGCTACAGAAAAGGCCCTTCTATAACATCTCCACCTCAGCCTAACGCCGAGGGAGTCCCAGAGAGAAAGAACAAGAAATCAGGCCTTCTCAGCAGTGGCCCCTCATCTCTGCAAAAATCTTCCCTCAGAAATTTGTCTGGCTCCCTTGCTGGGGGTTTTTAAGAGCAAACTCAAGACCTGGCTCTTTAGGCAGGCCTTCCTTTCTGTCAATACCTAATTTATTTATTGCCATCTTCAATTGTAATAAAGCTGTTGTTTTCTTTTATATTTGTTATTATTTGGATCGCTATTAGCTGCCCAGAGTAGATGTTGGTCTAGATGGGCGGGGTATGTATGTATGTATGTATGTATGTATGTATGTATGTATGTATGTATGT